TTTAAGGGTAACGAGTAATCGACGGATTAAGATCGTATTGATCGGTGGGCTCGAGTACCTGTTGACCCGTTTCGAGGCGTCGCGCAGGGTGGATGACCCATATACGGAATTTAGGTTAAGAGTTTTACTCACGGAAAATAGATATCACTGTGGCTTTCAATCTCGCCTCGTATCGGCATGATTGTCACCGTTCGAGTTTCTCGGTAAACAGGTGAGAATATGGGGTAGGCATGCCGGACTAAAGAAGTATCTTACAGTAAAAGCATTAATTGAGTAAATGTATACATTTCCTAGCCAATGTATGCACTTAGTAATCTATTTAGTTAGTACATGTATTCACAAGGAACGAAATTTATATTTTTGCTAGTAAATTGCATACATTTACATTTCTGATTTAGTAAAAGCATGCACAAACAAAAATGCATTAATTTCTATAAACACTTTTAGTGGCAATTATTGTTCATATGAATCATATGACCTATCAATTTTAGCATAGTAGGAACACGTCTTGATAGTTTTGCATAGGTAGTTAATTTCACGAGTACAAATCATTTGAGTTATATTATTAAAATAAATAAAAACAGTACGAACGAAAATTTTCTGTTAATTTATGTAACTGAAGTATTTATTTTACGTTACAATTGTTTCTTTCTAAGTGTATTAAATAAAAATTTAACCTGGCCTATGTTCTTATATTTATTAAATAAAAGCGACCAATTTTCTATTTAGACAGTAACACGCGTAAATTACTTGCGTAGTATTTATCTACATATATTTTCATACAAAAAGCTATTCGAAATTAATGTCTGAAAACAAGTAGTAATCACTGTAGCACTATGATCGACCACACTACAGATTAAATATTTTATTTTCTATTTAAATATACAGTGTACGTTAAAATGTGTTTTTTAGTTGTTCAAAATTATTCCAAGCAAATCAATGTCATCACTCCAGGGGTGTACTTTAGTAATTATAATATTATAATGATCCTGGCAATTCGCGTTGCTCTCCTGGAAATATGCTCCTTGACGTATGTGTATAGTAATAGTATATTTAATCGTATGATCTAGACGCGTTTAAATAATGAAATACAATTATCGAGGCACGATAAATAAAGTGGCAAAAGAGGACCTCGCTTGTTTTCGTTCCATTTTTATCTCAGCTCTTCTGTCCATGTAACGACCACGAAAAATAAACGGGTGTCTGGGATTTAAATGTCGGGTCGCGTGCAAATTCGCAGTGTACATTTTGCATGTCCGTACCTCTGACTTAATCATGAAATATGTAATACCCAAAACGTGCCCCCCCATCCAATTCCTTAATCACCTATCGCAAGGATACTACAAAACCGAAAATTATGAGAAACTTTAGAACGTACTAAAACAACCAATTATTTTTTACTGTTCATTAGTTATTTGGATTGCAAAGCCACGATTAGTTTTTCCAATTACATACATGTATGTTAAATTATTGCGAACAACGGAACGACAACATGTATTTAAAATATCTAAATAACTTTTTAATGAAGAAAATTACTTTGTTTCTGGAATACAAACGTATCAATGATTGACAACCGTTGAATAAAAACTGTATTCAACTCGTAACAGTATTTTACATGCAACTTATCGGGATATACTAATTAACCTTTTTTATTTCAAATTTATGCTGAGTTAATTTGTACGAAACCTGATGGATCGTAACACTTTTTCCATTGAATAATCTCAGCGTGACTTTGAAATATTCCTAGTTAGTAGCGAAATAATTGATCTTTAAATTTAGACTGTCTGTACTTGTATGTTCGAGCAGAAGTACCGATCGTATTATCGGCACGTATAAATTATATGCCATATACAGGGTGAACCATGAATCGTGATCAGTAGAGATTACTCTGTTATTAGCAATCCGATCGAAAATGCTTTTATCAGGTATAGCATGGTTTCAAGAGAGCTTTATCGTGATTATAGCAAATTTTCTGTCAATTTTATTAATTTATTATTATTTTATATAATAATATAATATATATAATTATTCGTCTTGAAATCTTCTAACAGATAGGTGTAAAAAAATTATAGGTGTGTTTGCAAAAGAAATGAAGATGATCTGGAAAAATCATGAAAAAAAGAGTTGACAACAAATTTGCTGATAAAAACATTTTCGATCGGATTACTAATAACAGAGTAATCTCTACTGATCACGATTCGTGGTTCACCCTGTATATAAACAGTGTATGCCATATATTATTTACGGGATGTTAATTTTCAGAGTTAACAAGCAATCGCGAAATTCGAACGATGCCAATCGCCTGTACTAACTCGAGAACACGATGGCAGAGGGGGCAAATGTTTCGCGAACGACACATGTTAACGATCACACCATGAATCCGCACAATCTTTTTTAATCCTCTCATTACCAAGAACTGTGCGTCTCAACTTCGTGCAAATTCATCTCCGACAATTCACGTCCAATTCGTGCATCAGCACCTCGTTCAATTCAAATGATTAAATTCAGCTTTTATAAAGGAAAAAATTTAAAGACATACACTTTTGTACATTTAAATATTAACACGTTCACGCCGGCTCGTAAATTTCCGTATCTCATAGTAGACAAAGTTGCCTGAAAATTTTTATTTTTATCGTCAAGATATAGAATTATGCTTCTTATTTAATGTAGTTATAATTTACGATTATAGTCCGACTATCCACTGATGAGTCATGGTAGAGTGCACGTGCTGAATTAAAAAATGACAGTTACGGTAATCAGTTTTTTTTTTCAAAAAAAAAAAATTTTTTCAATTTTAACGGACACATTAAACCAAATAGTACACTATTGACTGAAGTTACTTTTCAAATCGCTTATAGAAGTTACAAAAATGCAGATGATCTTTCTTATGAAAAACAAATTGCCTAAATAACTGCAGAATCAAACAAACTATTTGAGAGAATAAACACAAGCAGTCATGCATGTATATTATTACCCACCAAATTTCTTTATTTTCTACCTCTTCCTCGAACAAGATTTTTGTCCCTCTATATCACGAACTGCACGCATATAGTTCGAGGGTGACGAGCGCGCGCGGATTTCCTCTTGCGAGCAAAACGCTTGCATTGGCACTAATGTTCACGTGCGAAAACATTTGGCTGGCAGTAACGACCTACGGAGTTGCGCGTTAAATTATTCGGCAAATTTGTTTCGATTTATCAGTCCACCGTTTCTTCGACCGCGAGTACATTATATTTAGACGATTATATATAATTGTTTTCAACTGTATTTTAACTTCTCGAAACTGTAGCTACATCATGAAAATAGTTCCAATTGATGAACGTCTAAGCCTGTGACCCCATAACGGTGGCTACTATTGCGTCCTGCGTGATGAAATATAAAATGCTCGATTTATTCCATTATTCCTATTTACATTTTTATCGTGCCTAGTATTCTACGATTTAGCACTAAAAACGTAAATGAACACACAAGAAAATAACAGGATTCTATATCTACATTACTGTAATATATTTTGTGTAATATGTGCATACATTGTTTCATGTTTTTCCAAAATATGTATTCGTTTAATGCGCGAACCTACTAATATTATAATTGTATGCAATTTATACATGTACGTATAATGAACATTTGAATATTCTATTATTCCGACACTATCGTTACTCACTGTGCCTACCTATCCAATTCTGTGTACAATTCATCTCCAGAACAACGAACAGTGAAACTTCGCTATATGCTCAAATGATCCTGAATTCGAGGGGTTAAAAGATTCTATCCGTTCACACTGTATTCCCTCCTGCCCTTCCGTCGAAGCAAGTGAAACTTCCGTTACCGTACACACACTGACTGTAATTCCCATTACGCGCTCGAGAAGAAGAAAAAAATCGTCACGTCCCGCGATGAAAATGTTTTACGTCCGTACATTCGTTTAACCTACAAATTGCACACGCCTTCGTTTTACGCAGAGGCGTTCAAAGTAATCGGGCAGAGCAACGAGCAGACGGGCTGGCTATAACCCGCATGTTTAAGAATTTTGCTATCTGAAAATAGACTAATTGACTTATGTAATTCATGAAAACTGTGTCCCCTCGGTTTCGCGTACGAGCAAACGAAAAACCGCCACACGGTTACTACGACGCGGACGAAAAACACACGGTGTGTGGCCCGCGGCCGCAGTGTGCATACATGTAACGACAGGATCTTTGATCTCTCGCCGGTTACAAAGCGCACATCCGAGCGAGCAACCGCGCGTACCCTTATCGCGTGAGCAGACTCGTCATCGGTCCTTGGCGAGGCGAAGCGATGCAGCCAGCGGTGAACTATTCGCGGCCAGCATCCGGCGCCGATTCTAAAAGACACACGGCTCTCTGCCTGATCATCAAGATCCGGCGGATTAACCTTCGCAGAGATTTCAAGCGGCACACAGGCCGGATTCTCGAGTGGCCGGAGGCCTGGGCTTGGGAGGATCCCACTCGACTATCGCCTGACGTTTATTGCACCGCCCATAAATCACCCGGGGCGAGTGTCCGCGGACGCGTCCAGAAAGGAATGAATTTTGTAATTCGATTCTACCTGGGCGAACTACAGGTTGAAAGGTATGTACGAAGGGCAGACGATGGAAATCGTTGCAGGGCGGAGCCAACCGAAAGTTTTTGCGGTTGGAAAAGCGCATGCGATATCGCGGACCTCCGGGAGTTACTCGACCCTCTCTGATCAATATTTAATACGTGACACCAGGCGAGAGGGCGAACGAACGATCGGGTCAGAGTCACGGTGGTAATATCGGTAAGAGGATGAGAAAAGGGGGAGGGACGGAAAACGATGGTTATCGGAGTGTCAATCGCGGTCGAAACGTGCATGTACACCAGAGATAGATGCACGATGCGATAGGGACGCAAACAGTAAGCAAGAAGGAAAGGCAAGGTTCACGAGAGCCAGAGCGAAACGGGACCGAGAGAGAAAGAGAGAGAGAGAGAACATAGTCTTGATAAATGTGTATTTACCGCCAATCTAGGGACGTCCACAGTCTCGTCGGTGCAGCCCACCTCGACGGCTGATATGCCACAGCAGAGATCCTCGTTTCTTGTCCTAGTAGGCAACATGCAACACCTTTGTATTCTTGTGGGCCGGTTTACGGCACGTCATCGGCAAAACGTTCAATCACGGTGGTTACTGTCAATGACTGGTAAGGGCGCGGGGATCAGGGTTGAAGACACTCTATTCACTCACATACACGCACTTTTCTTGTCGACTTAACGTAATACTTTGGTTGAATCTATGCCTGCACGAAGCCACTGTTGACGCTGTCACGTATATCCTCTCGTGTACTGGTTCCGTTGACTCGCGACTGTATACGGATCGGTCACTACAGCCGAAATTCTTTATCGTTCGCGAGCAGATATCAGCACTAGCGGATTCGTTCACGGAACGACAGCCCGACCTCGTATGTACGAGCACGATACGTCCGTGTATTGCATTCTTTCAAGAACAACTGTGCGATCGCAATTTTCGGGACCCTAACTCTTCCGGTGGTGCCCCCCTATGGCGAGCACAGCCCGAGTGCACGCGGTACATAGAGAGCCCTCTACGTTCATTTCCGTGCTTTTATAGAAGGATGGTTTCTCGAACTCGTCGCAAGAGGGCCACAATCAGCAGACCATGTGACGGTGAATAAGTACATATGTAATTTTTAAAGTTAGGAGCTTCGTATTGAAGTTAAATAATTTAAATTACGTTTCTATCTTCTATAAATATTAAATGTTCAGAAGAAACTTGTACAATACAGTGTTATCCATGCAATTTCAATCACCTGAATCAGTATCTAAAGGCGGAACCTTCTGTTGAACCATAATGCTTTATGGCCATTCCCTATTTGAAGCCTATTTATTCTGACTAATTTCTGTTAATAAAATACTTTAATGCTTAAATCACGAATGAATTATAAGAATACCGTGATTATCTACTGTATTTCCGTAGTCCAGTTTTTGGGGACGATTAGCAGCATTACCATTTTGTATCACGCTCGACATTACCGATCAGTCACGAATTTCGGGTAGATTAGCATGAATATAATTTGTATATTTTGCATCATGCATACACAATGAAAATTAGCGGAAAGAAATATATGTTTCTCATGTTTATGCGATGTAAATAGCGTTCATAAAATATAACGCTACGAAAACAGATTTTCCAATGAATCACGAGGGTAGACATTATTTTAACATCATTCTAAATCTATCGCTATTATACAACTACCACAGACGAGAATATCTCGTCCATGATACTACAATTAATATTGTATCTACTGATTACTAACTATTAGTTACCAAAAGAATATCGACTCTAGATAGGTGAAGTTTTCTTAACTTAATGGTAATAAACAGAACATACAATAATAACATGTCTATATTATTCTAAAAAAATATATACAAGATAAATATATATTTCTTGTACTATGTCAATAAAGTTGCCAACAAAGAGTACGAGGCTAAAACCAATACTTTTGCGAAATAGATGTTTAGATCTGAAGCAAATTTAATATAGTTAGCTTCCTCACATTCTCGTGAGCCGTCGCGGAGGGTGGGCGCGCGTCTCATACTCGTCCTTTCTCTTGTTACTAACCCATTGTTTGTTGCAGGCATTCGACAACCATCAATTTATTTACTATGCATATTGTTGCGTCCCCTCTATTGTTACTAATCCCTTGTATGTTACAGATGTTAGAGAACCATTGGCTTCGATATTTATCTTATTATGTACTGTGATTTATTTACTGTGATTTATTTACTGTCATTTCTATCTGTGATTGCTATACTGTGATTTATTTACTGTGCATATTATTAATCTATTTACTGTGCATATTGTTGTGTCCCCTCTCTTGTTACTAATCCCTTGTATGTTACAGATGTTCGAGAACCATTGGCTTCGATACTTATCTTCTTATGTACTGTGATT